TCCAGTGAGCCACTGACAACAATACAATGTTCAGCAAGGACAAATTTCAGTTACTCCACCATGTATAAGCTGTGGAAATAAGACTGAATGGTGTGTAAACCAAATCTGAACCACTCAATGGAGTGAAAGATCATGGGAGGACTTAGGAGTGATAATGTCAAAAGATCTCTCTTTCAAAGATCACAAGTGTCATTATCACAACTGCAAAGAAAATTATAGGCTGAATAACTAGAGCCTTCAAAACAAGAAATACAAAGTGAATAATGATACTCTAAATCACTTTCTTCCTTCAGACTAGAGTAAAATTATACACTAACATCCCCTTTTGGGGCAAGCAACATTGCCAATCTGGAGAAGGTACAGAGAGCTTTCCCTATCTGTATAAATTCAGTCAAGCACCTAATTACTGGATTGCTTAAATCCCTTGAACTGTACCTCCTGGAATGTAGGTGAAAATGATCCACAAGATAAGATTTGTTCAGATTTTTAGCCCAGAGGGTTAGCCACCTGGGATAACCAAAGAGAGTGCATCATCAAGGACTCTGTCTTATTTCCATTTGGGTATTGCAATCTTGTTCCCTAGGATGTGACCCACACCAACAGACTAACCCCCAGGTACCTACTTACAGCTAGGTTAATAGGGACAGGTGTAAGGAAACATGCCCAATGTTTCCACTTGGCCTAGGAATGAACTGCAGACACTTTGGGTGCGAGGTGAAAGCGCTGCCTGCCAAGCAACGGGACAAACGTAATTATGACTTTCACATGTAAAATTCTTGATGTATTGGTCCCAAAGCTGCACACAGAAATCACTCCTTAATAATAATAATAATAATAATAATAATAATAATAATAATAATAATAATAATAATAATAATAATAATAATAATAATAATAATAATATCTTTATTTCTACAAGTACATGTACAAGGTATACAGGCCTAGCTGACATCAATGACATACTACTACATGTATATAGAAAGTTGCTTGTTATGTTGAGCATTTCAGGCAAAATAGGTCAGTTTTTCCCAGGATGCAACCCACATCAATCAACTAACACCCAAGTACCCATTTTACTGATGGGGAACATAGACAACTGGTGTAAGGAAACACGCCCAATGTTTCTACCCTGGCTGGGAATTGAACCCAGACCTTCGCCGTGTGAAGTGAGAGCGTTAGCCACCAGGCCACAGGGCACCGGGCACAGGGCAGACAGTGCAAGATACAGTACCACCCGATGAAACACAGGGATACCAATAGCACATTAAAAAAACAGTAAAACTTTTAATGGATTTTGGGAATTATGGACAATAGAAAATGGTCAGACAAATGTAATCATAAGACAAATTGGAAAAAAGTCAGTAATTCCAAATTTTGTCCTTAACAATAGTGTCCAGTTGTCTTCTAAATCATCAAACCAAGGCCAATGATTCTGACATTTTTCCTGTATGGGCAAGAGCATCCACAACCATGACCTGTCTGTTTTCAATGTGTCCGGCTAAACCTCTGCAAAAATTCAGAGTACATAAAAGGGCCTAAAATCTGGAATTTCCTGGCTGAAAACTCTAGAACCACAGACTCAACCACCATTTTCAAAACTACTGTTAAAAAACATCTTATCTCCCTAACACACCCCATCATCAGCTAACCAAATGAAAACCACCTAATTCTCTTTTTGTATCATGAACACATCCAAAACAATATAGTCTTACTCTCGTTATCTGTAATTCCCCTCAATATACACTTACACCCACCCAAATGACTGTAAACATAAAATTCCTAATACAGTGGACCCCCAGTTAACAAAATTTTTTTATTCCAGAAGTATGTTCAGGTGCCAGTACTGACCGAATTTGTTCCCATGAGGAATATTGTGAAGTAGATTAGTCCATTTCAGACCCCCAAACATACACATACAAACACACTTACATAAATACACTTACATAATTGGTCGCATTGGGAGGTGATCGTTAAGCGGGGGTCCACTGTATAGCTATTGCCTGTTGAATCTCGAGTTTGTCCTCAGTTTGTCCTATGTTTGCCTAAGATCATGCCAAGACAAATCCAATCCCATCACTACATCTACCATTTGTAATTTTATTATGTGATTTGTACTACCTATCTATCTATGTATCTAATTAAGTATGTATCTAATAATTTAAGTTCAAATGTACTGTTCCATAACCTACATTAATATAGAGTAAGAATTAGTATTAGTCTGCCAGAAATGCCTAGACATGCTCATGGCCTTCTTTGTAATTAATATTTTATAACATGTAAACACACATTGTAAGCTTTACAAGGAAATAAAGATTTTGATTCTGATTGTTCCTGAGCCATAGGCTGCCTGCACCAGTTTATTGTCTGTGCTCCGTCACACACAAACTTGTCATTCAGTCTTGAATTTTTCCTAGATTTATAGTGTTTTGCGTAACTTTACATATTAGCATATCAAGTGATATGCAAGTAACAATGATTTCTAAAGCAAGTGATGGTGCCAAGAGAAAACGTATGGTTCTCAGTGTTAAGCAGAAACTTCAACTTTAATAAAGAAGGATGTGTTTAATATTTGAGTGGCATGGCAGTCTGATACCCATAGGAACAAGGACAAACTTACAGACTATGTTCTTAAGTTTAATGTAGAAGATAGCTATAACTCTTCAATAGTCGGTACTAGAAAAATGTGAAAATAGTCCATGATATAAAGCTTGAAGAAGCAGTGTATAAATGGTATCATCAACAGCATTCTGCTGGTGTTAATGTTCATGGTGTTGATCCTCACTCTGCTGTACATAGCCTAGCAAAGTATATATGAACATAGAACATAGTCACCTATGTCTTCTCAGCCATCAATATTTTTATTAGTAAAGCTTTACAGTTCCTCTGACTCAGAGAAAAAAAAGGTTATTCTCAGTCACCACTATCGATCATAGCAGTTTATATATCCCCCCCCCCATGAAGAGGTAAGTAAAATTACTGTAAATGACATACTATAAAATTATTATAGAAAACAGTACTGAGTACTACAGGTTACAATACCTGTATTCTTAGTGTATGGTGGTCTCCTGAGTCAGTAGACCAAGTCTGCTGATTCAGAACTGTCACAATTATGAAAAGAATAATTTCATAATTCAGAATACGTATATGGACAATCGGCAATATTGTACACCCCTCACCCTATTAGTCAGTTAATTAGAGGATACACTGTATATACAATGAGAGTAAAGGGACCAAGACTTAACACCCTCCTTTCATACAGAAGAGGAAATACCAACAGACCCCTATCTGTTTTCAAAGCAGTTTCTGACCAGCCAGGTTGTGGTGAATATGTTGGACTACATGTGGATGGCACTAACAGCCTGATTGATCAGACCATTTACCAGGTCTAGTCTGAGACTAGGCCACAGGGGGGAATGACCCCTGAAACCACTTCCAGGTGATCTTCATGTAACTGGCTCAATTAGGCCAGATTCGTTGGGGAAAATGAAGGTCCCATTCATTGGTTTTTTGTAAAATTTACCTGTGGCTATTTTTCTTATAACAATTTGTCCATTACATTTGAAAACAATTTTTTTTCACAATTAAGATGAAGTACAGTAAATTCCAAGGTTTATCAGATATAGAATCTCCCTCCTCTCCACACCAGGGAGTACTGTATATTCTAAGTGCTTTGAGGTCTTCTCAGTCCCTTGAATTCTGATTATGCAAGCAGCAAGCAACTTGGAGGGTTTTGGGGGTCAAAGACCCCACAGCCAATCCCCAACCAGACCTCCCAGTGGATTCTTTAATCGATCAGGCTGTAGGTCCTAAATGAATAGACACTTTCTTATGAATTAAACTTCTCAGCAGACTTTCAGTCTGATAAAGTGAAACATTAGTGTTATTGGCCTATACAGAATAGTTTAAGAATGTCTGCTGCCACTTTTGTAGCGGGCTATGTCAATGATCTTTAAACCTTTCACTCTCACCTACATTTACATTACTGAGGCCACTGTCACTTTAGTAGATCTACATCTTAATCACAGCACCTTTAACTGTGCTGTGAGCAGTAAATTCTGACCAAGACATGAAAGAATGGTTCTGTGCAGTGGATTTGCACCACAAGGTTCATGATGGAAACAACTAACCTTTGACATTATGACTGGTTTAAAATAGCAACTCTGAGGCTTATTCTTGGGTGGTTTTCATAGTTCTATTGCCTATTTTTGGGTACCAACTGACAGAATGGAAAATACTAGCGAACTGGAAATGATTCTGGTCGGTTTTGGACCAGAAGTGGCTTGAAATGTGCATTAAAGAAGTGATATTTGGCGATTTGCCTGAGGAAGGGTAGGGACTTAAACCAGAATCAACCATTCTTGGCAACAGTATATTTAATTAGCAGAGAAATAGGTAATATTTCGATCAGAGTAATGATCAATTCAAAACCATGGGGAAGTGTTAGGAGAGGCCTAGGGACGTGAGTAGTGAACAGAGGAAAGGTTGCTGTAGTGATTAGAATGCCTGCAGTGTTTTTGACTCTGCTTTTAAAGGAAAGCAAAAATGGTTAAGTATCCATGACTAAGATACAAAATTAAGATAGATAATGTAGGCCATCATAGACAGTTTACACCAAGCTGTGTACAGTAATGACAACTAGATAGCCTTGTTCATTACCATCAATTTTTGTTCACAAATGCCAAATAACAAAAATTAAATAATTTTCCTTTATGAGTAACATTAAGCTTAAGAAATAAACAAGTGGCAACCCTTTCCCAGCACACCAAAAGCTTAATAAAGCCCAGGAAAGTTTAAAATAATTAGTTAATGTGCCAGGTGGAACAGCTGTAGTCTCCTACCCCCTAGGAGACTCCAGGACCAGAAAGAAAGGCAAAGAAAGCATAAATTCACGAGAACTGAAGTGGTGTGTAAGAGGGCACACCCCATGTAAACAATGACTTAAGGTTGTATTTCTGGGCAACATACCATCAATACCCACTCAATAACCACCTTACCCTCACCTCTCATCCATTCTGAAGTCTCATTCCTTAATGAAAATCCAGATAATGTCTTGGCAGTCATAGAAAACTTTGCATTAATTAAAAGATTATGCTTGACAATGCACAACTCGAATCAACAGTTGATTTCTCACGCTGTTTCGACCAATACAAGTCGTGTCACGCGCGCACATATAAAATTACTGTATATTTTCATTTATGATTTGTATATACACATCCACAGTACATAAAACACAAGAGTAAACAGAGAAACTCAGCACTGCACTGTCACTTTCAATCCATTCACTGTGTCATTAACACAAACATTAGTGGCTGCCATATTGGCCGCTTAACTCACTCGCCTCCGCCACTCAAGTAGATCTAACCACCCACCAACAAAAAACTTTCAATATAACTCAGATATGCTTTTCATTTTACTTTAAATATTTACAGATATTTAGAATAAAACCATTATTAAAGATTGTATTGATGCCGTCGAGGTAATAACACGGATTTCACGTTTCTCAACTGGAAAGTTTTATCAGTTTTAAATAAGTTGAAAAGAAGAAATAATAGTATTAATTATATGAAGAGTATCATTGTATAATATGTGAGCAGTGTTTGTATTTCCTTTAAGGGTTTCGAGGAGGACAATGTTCCCATTTTTTCATATATATGATAATCGCGAAATTTTCCTTCAACTAAACTCATCGCTGACATCACAGTTAACAATGCGAGTTGCTTACTTTTATAATGCAACGCAAAGATGAATCTAATTCATTATCAACCCATGTAATGCTCAATCTACAGGACACCTTCTATGTTCAGCTTTGTTTTAGCTAAAATTCAATGAATGAAATAACTAGACTAAGTTAGGTTACGCTATGATGAATCACATGACATTCACCACGAGTACATCTTCATTTCCGGATTTTGACGTAATATTAAAGAATTAGCCCGAGTGCCAAGTAATGTGATGAAGTATATAGATCCTTTTATACAAAAGTAAGTAGTGTATATCGATAAATGATATATACTCAGTTACAAAGGGTGAGGCCAGCTTGCAAGACTATGATTGCAACACAATTTGCATGAGCCGTGAAGTGCGTCAGAGCATGTTTTACAATTGTTCTTACTTCAGTCAACAAATATTTCTCACCAGATTGATTCAGTCGCCACACCAAAACGTAATAAAATAGAAGCTAATGTCAAGAAACTAACTGTTGCAGGTTTGTGCATGATATACGAGACAATATCAGTGTACTGGAGGCTGCTCTTCTCACATGAATCATTCTCTGCTCGTAACCACCTCTCATACATTCAATTATATCAATAGGCCTTCTTTCATAGACTTCTGCTTCCGCTGTGTATCCCTCGTTAACTAAAAGAAATACATTCATCACTGTTTCCGTGGATAAAGCAAATGAAAAAACTAACGGGACCAGTTAACGGTGCTATAGAAACTCAAGTGCCTACATAGGTGAGTGGTATAAGCAACTTGTTGTTTATACAAATTAAAGCCTACCAATGATTCTGACGTTATATACAATAATACATCAATACTCATAATGCTGCCTTCGGTATAATACCTTTACGTAAAGAGGCTATTCATATTAGATGAAATAATTGATCCAGCAAGCTGGTGATTCTGGCATCTTCCATGAGTATTAGATATCATATAGGATACGATAGAATACAGCAGAAATGTTTATTATAAATAAATTTATGAATATGCACAGACATTTACATATGTGTACGATAGTAGTGTATGCATAAACATGTACACATGTGTATGGTACTTATGTAAACTGCATGTACACCACGGCACTAGTAAGAACGTAGTTGGTGTTATTTTATTAATCAATCTACACTCTGCACCTTATTAACGTGAACTATATTTTAGATTTTCGGCAGAGGGTCCCGACAGTGTGACTAGACGAGCTGGGGCCTCACTTGTTATGAGCAGGCACATGTATTGGCACCACCAGCATGACCAGGAAGGAAACGTGTTTAGAGCACATGCATTGTAAGGAGGGAAACTTTTAGGGCCATCTTCATTATTGGGAGAGAAACATGTTGAGGTTGGCAACTGTGTAAGAAGGGACAATTAGTGGAGTCAGTAGCGGTGTAAGAAGGGACAATTAGTGGAGTCAGTAACGGTGTAAGAAGGGAAATTTATTGGAGTCAGCAGCAGCAGTGTAAAGAAGGGAAATTTAGTGGGGACAGCAGCAGTGTAAAAAGAGAAACTTAATGCGATCAGCAGCAGTGTAAGAAGGGACACTTAATGGAGTCAGCAGCAGTGTAAAGAATGGAAATTTGGTGGGGACAACAGCAGTGTAAGAAGAGAAACTTAACTGGGTCAGCAGCAGTGTAAGAAGAGAAACTTAGTAGAGTCAGCAGCAGTGTAAGAAGGGACACGTAATGGAGTCAGCAGCAGTGTAAAGATGGGAAATTTAGTGGGGACAGCAGCAGTGTAAAAAGGGAAACTTAGTGGGGTCAGCAGCAGTGTAATAGAAAAGTGGTGGGGCCACCAGCAGTATACGAAGAAAAACGTGGTGGGGTAACCATCAGTGTGAGAAGAGAAACATGGTAGGGAAACCAGGTTTGTAAGAAGAGAAACGTGATGGGGTAACCATCAGTGTGAGAAGAGAAACATAGTAGGACCAGCAGCAGTGTAAGAAGGAAAACGTGCATCTTTATTATACACCTCATACCCATCCTGTGGGCAGTAATCAAAACATTACATAGGCACATAATGAATTCAGGGACTACCTACCTGGAGGTTGTTCCAGGGATAAACGCCCCCGCGGCCAGTCCTCCCGGTGGATCAGGGCCCGATCAACCAGGCTGTTACTGCTGGCCGCGCGCAGTCCAGCGTACGAATCGCAGCCCGGCTGATGGGGCACTGACTCTAATTGTATGTTTAGTTACCGCTTAAAGACAGCCAGGGGTCTATTGGTAATCCCCCTTTATGTATGATGGGAGGCTGTTGAACAGCCTTGGGCCCCCGATACTTAAAATGGAGGAATGTAGCAAATAATGCTGTAGATGACACCCGCAGATGACACCCGAATCTGCATGACAGTGTCTTCCATTGCAGACACTGCAAGGCTCCAGGCGGACATCAACCAAATCTTTCAGTGGGCTGCAGAAAACAATATGAAGTTCAACGATGAGAAATTTCAATTACTCAGATATGGTAAACATGAGGAAATTAAATCTTCATCAGAGTACAAAACAAATTCTGGCCACAAAATAGAGCGAAACACCAACGTCAAAGACCTGGGAGTGATTATGTCGGAGGATCTCACCTTCAAGGACCATAACATTGTATCAATCGCATCTGCTAGAAAAATGACAGGATGGATAATGAGAACCTTCAAAACTAGGGAGGCCAAGCCCATGATGACACTCTTCAGGTCACTTGTTCTATCTAGGCTGGAATATTGCTGCACTCTAACAGCACCTTTCAAGGCAGGTGAAATTTGCCGACCTAGAAAATGTACAGAGAACTTTCACGGCGCGCATAACGGAGATAAAACACCTCAATTACTGGGAGCGCTTGAGGTTTCTAAACCTGTATTCCCTGGAACGCAGGAGGGAGAGATACATGATTATATACACCTGGAAAATCCTAGAGGGACTAGTACCGAACTTGCACACGAAAATCACTCACTACGAAAGCAAAAGACTTGGCAGACGATGCACCATCCCCCCAATGAAAAGCAGGGGTGTCACTAGCACGTTAAGAGACCATACAATAAGTGTCAGGGGCCCGAGACTGTTCAACTGCCTCCCAGCACACATAAGGGGGATTACCAACAGACCCCTGGCAGTCTTCAAGCTGGCACTGGACAAGCACCTAAAGTCAGTTCCTGATCAGCCGGGCTGTGGCTCGTACGTTGGTTTGCGTGCAGCCAGCAGCAACAGCCTGGTTGATCAGGCGCTGATCCACCAGGAGGCCTGGTCACAGACCGGGCCGCGGGGGCGTTGACTCCCGAAACTCTCTCCAGGTAAACTCCAGGTAATCTCCAGTAGAGATAACACCAGGAGTCAGCTCAGATGAAAACTCGCGCGCACACACACGAGCTTTTAAATCTGCACCAAATTCACCTTAAACCAGCAAATAATAGAGCCTACAAGATTGGAGAATACACTGGACCTCATCTTCACCAACAATGATAATCTGATACGAAATATTACCACATCAAAAACAATATATTCAGATCACAACATAATAGAGGTTCAGACATGTATGCGCAGGGCCCCAGACCGACAAAATGTGATAAGTCACGAGGGAGCCTTCACCAAATTCAACTACAGTAACATAAACATAAGGTGGGACCAAGTTAACCAGGTCCTAAATGTTATAAACTGGGAAGATAGCCTAAGCAACACGGATCCAAACCTACGCCTAGAATAAATTAACTCTGTGGCACTCGAGGTATGCTGCAGGCATATTCCTTTAATTAAGAAAAAGGAGAAGATATAAACTAGAAAGAGAAAGGCGCTCACTATACAAGCGAAGGCTAAGAATAATAGAGCGGCTAAAAGAGGCCAATATATCTGTAATACGTAGGGCGATACTGGTCAGAGAAATAGCAAACATCGAACTAAAGCTACAGGAATCTTACAGGAGCCAAGAAACGCGGGAAGAACTAAAAGCCATAAATTAAATTGAAAGAAACCCAAAATATCTCTTTTCTTATGTCAAATCATAGTCGAGAACAACATCCAGTGTTGGGCCCCTACTCAAATGAGATGGGTCCTACACAGATAACAGCAAGGAAATGAGTGAATACTCAAGTCCCAGTATGACTCGGTTTTTAGTGAGCCGCTAACCAGACTGAGAGTCAAAGATCTAAATTAATTTTTTATGAGAGAGACACAGAATTTGGCAGACTCGAACCTATCTGATATTACCATGACGCCAAATGACTTCGAACAGGCGATAAATGACATGCCCATGCACTGAGATCACAAGAAACGACCGTAAAGTATATGAGGAACTCAACATGAGGTTCAAAGAAGTGTTCACATAGGAGACAGAAGGGGGCCCCAGAAAGACGGAGAGGTGGGGTACATCACCAAGTGCTGGACACAATACATACAACCGAGGAAGAAGTGAAGAGGCTGCTGAGTGAGCTAGATACCTCAAAGGCGATGGGGCCGGATAACATCTCTCCATGGGTCCTCAGAGAGGGAGCAGGGGTGCTATGTGTACTCCTAACAACAATATTCAACACATCTATCGAAACAGGGAGATTACTTGAGGTTTGGAAGACAGAAAATGTAGTCCCAATTTTTAAAAAAGGAGACAGACATGAAGTACTAAACTATAGACCAGTGTCACTAACATGTATAGTATGCAAAGTCATGGAGA